CTCATCTACGGCCAGTCTCCCGCCCTGATGGAAGTGAGAGGGTTTTTCATCAATAATGTGACATTATATGCTTTATGCTGTTTATTGTCAAGGGTTTTCCCAGATCTTTTTGACGAGGGAAATCTGACCTTTCCAAACCAAAAACTCTTGAGGGATAATATTTTTTTATTTGTATATGTATATAAAATAAATGGATATATTAGATAGATAATTAGAACAAAGAGCGAACACACAAACTATCTCCAAAATACAGAAGTCTCCTGACTTCATCAATCTCAAAGAAAACCAAGATCAACTTTGATTTCCCTAGGAACAGAATCCAGCCCTTGGCATTGAATATTCCTTGACAGACAGCAGTTACTACAGAGCAAAGTTTCACGATGTGACTAGCAAGCTCTTCCAGAGGACACCAAACCGCACCAAACATGCAAGGGAGATCTTGGTGTTTAATACCTGAATTGCTGAATGCAAAACAGAATCTTTTGGAGAAGGTAAGGCCCAGAAAATGGGAAAAGGAAAAAAAACCCCAGCAGATTAATGGCAAAATTTTATTTTATCATTCTCTTATTGGGATGCAGCAAACAACCAGTGACGCTTCTCTGCTCTTGTAGAGTTGTGGTGAGAGATCTTTTCTGTGTCTTTTCAACCATAAGAGAGTAAAGGAAAGGTATGGGGTTGGTTGGTTTGTTTTTTCCCATAAGAAGCCAAAATCCGTAAATGCTTATGGATCGAAGTGGATGATGCTGCAGCCAGAAATACGTGTGGCTCTGCCACAGAGACGTTCTGTGGCACATTCATTTTCCTGTGGCCAAGTTCTGGTCCGAAAGCAATGACAGCACCCCAGCTATTTGAGAACTGGGTCTCCAGATACGCGCCTTCCCAAGCATCGTTCAGTACCACGCACCTGTGTTAAGGTTCAGGGAGGAAGTTTCTCTGAAACAAATCAGCGCTTGGTGCAAACTTGTTTTCAAGGGATCAGTGGAAAAACTTCCTCCCTGCTTGCATTCCAGGGAATCGAAGGTTGCCTGCTGAAACCTCATTGAAATGCCTTTCGATTGATAAAAGCAGAACCAAGATCGTGACACAGACGTTAAGTTACTGCTTCTCTGCAGAAGCTGTTCCAGCTGTGGGGAGAGCCTAAGCTTCCCGGTTGGCGCACTGTTCTTGGGAGCGACAAAAGAGATTGTGTTCATTAGGCCAACCCTATCATTCTTGCTAAAAGCAGGCTCGGGTTTCCATGTATATTTTCAAATCAAATTAGAAACGCTGCTCCTGAGACCTCCTTCAGCTGACAGTGACAGATTGCACAACCTGATAAATAGGTGGCATTCCTAGAGATGTACTAATACCCGAGTTGCCACAAGTGCTTAGATAATGAAAACATACACAGAGCCGTGTATTTCAATTAGCAGAGAGCTTTACCTCTTCCTCCGATAATGCGACCCACACCCAGGGAGTGGCCACTTCTCGAACAGAAATGGGAAAGGTTTCTTCCTCGGTTGTTTTTGAAGCTAAATGCTATTATTCAGTCATGGTGGATTTCCTCTGGCTAGTTTTTTACCAGCTATGATTAAAACAGCCATCTCCTTTCACTCTGCTCTTGGCACATACTTGCACAGCTAGATCTACAGTGGTTAATCCCACCAGGAGAATCTTTGTAGCTCTACCTGTTTGTTACCTAACTCAGCTGTAGAAGAAAGCAAGAGAAATGGGAAAACAGGCTTACTGGCCTTAAAAAAACAAATGAGAACCAACTTAAACTCTTATGGTTGCAGAAATTAAATTACCCAGGTTTCCTCCACCCACTGAATCAGGATAGTCTTCACATTAATGTTACGGTTTTCTTATTTCAGTTGCATGCTAAAAATGCAGCAAAATGCAACTGGGAAGAAATACACTTGATCAGAAAACAAATAACTGTGGTTATCTGAAGGGGAAACGCGAATGTGCCAGTTGCCTGTGTTGGCAAGTGAGCAGTGAAAAATGGAGAGACGTGCTGTGGCCTGTGCTTAGGAGAGTGAAGTTTGGCCTCTTGTTAGGTGCCTTTACTGATGTGTTGTCTTTCCCACAGCTTTTCGTCAATGCTATTTGTCTTCAGTGACATTTTTGACAGCAAAAGTTCCTTTGCTATTCTTCACAGCAAAAGCGAGGTAGCATTAAAACCTACCATTTGGGAAGGCCAAAAAATCTTACAGATTCTCCCCGAGTTGCAGCCCCCTGTGGTGTTTCCCGCTGATCCCCATTTACCAAGCTGACCTTCCAGCGATTCAGAAATAGCTAGCATGTATCCCCGAGCTGACCAACGGACCCTCCATCTCTAGCTGCTCGCCAGGCTTGGGAGGAACACCCAGGGAAAACACCGGTTTCTCTGATATGGTGCGATAGATGGGGAAGGGGGGAAACAAGTTCTCAAACCCTCAAGTTACGGCACAGACCTTTGAACTTCCTTTCTTGTTAATTTGTGCTAAATTTGGGCATGGACCAAAACCCTAGCTCTGCGGCGTTTCCCCTGTGCTTTGATTCAACGTTCAAATGTTCCTGAAGCAGGTTCACGTCGAGGTTCGTCCCTTTGTTCTCAGAGGTTTGCCTGGCTGCTACCTTTTGCTATCTCTCAGAAAAACTGATGTTATCTTCTGAAAGAGAAAACTCAAGATTGTATTTGCAGCTGAGAATTTCCTGTGTGCCCGTCCCCAGCCTGCACAATGACGGTGAGGAGTAGCTTTGCGCTTCTTTGGAGAGCTTGAGGGATAGTCCTTGCACGGAAACTGAAGAACTCCCCAGCTACTCATGCCTTTGATCTCAGATAAAGGTCAACCTGTCTAGCAGAAAGCGTGATCGGAAACGCTACCGCACATCATCCTTCACTTTCTCTTCCCGACCCCGGAATGATTCACCGACGCTCTCAGGGTGTGCCTCCGCCACGGCACCGACGGTCTGTCCTTTGGCTCTTTGGAGCAGCTTTATCTCATCTCCTGCACTGGCCGGCTTCAGCCAGGACCACCGCGATTTTCAGTGAGCTGACAAGAAACCATCCACAACGCTTATTATTACAGCAATGTTTAATAGCTATTGTAGGATTTTGTTGGTTTGCTGGGTTTTTTTAATACAGACAGGCCTACTAGTGTAAGTGTTAAAAATTCACGGTTATACCGGTCTCATCGCAACAAGCACGTATTATCTCCTTGCACTGAGAGTTTCCGAGGCTCTCTGACCACACCGTGAGTCCTGAGCCTCCCAGCACGAACACCCGCAGAGCTCCACCTCGCGCAGCGTCCAGGCTGCTGATGCACAAAGCTTCTGGGAGCCGCAGATCCTGGTTGTTTCTCCCAGCACCCATGCAAGATCATCGCTGCGTGGCCGGTGGGGGAAATAACGCAACTTACATGTTCTGCAGGTAAGGCCGGCGCAATGATTCTGTTTATAATTTTGTTATAAATGCTAACGTGCGGGGATTTTTAAGCTGCTTTCAGATTCCTCTGTAACTTCAGAAATGTTGTTACAGCTGTGAAGATTGGTTATTAACTGACAAATAACTTGCGTAAACACTTTCTCTGCTGAGTTTCCGCAAAGCTGTATTGGCTGGAGATAGTTATCACCAGAGAAGGTGAGTGACGGGAACAGTAAATATCGAATGCTTCAAGCCAGGCCGTTTGTCAGCTCTTCTGTCTGAAATGATGCTGTGCTGATGGATAGGATAGTTCTCGCTCTTCGCAGGCTAAGCCGCCTCACGCTGCTTGGGAGGAGGAGGGAAGTGTCGGTGTCTGGCAATGGGTACGTGTCCTCCTGCTCCACCGGGCTCTATGCCTCTGCCGGGGCTAGGAGATGCCACGCAGGGGGAAACACGACGGTACTCCCGGGTGGGATGCAACGCGGAAGCGGCATTAACTTGCTACCGACAGCGGGAGGATCACAGTTCATCCCATTCATCTTTGCGAAGGTGTAGTTCACTACCGGTAAAGGTCAAGCAAGTGACCTAGAGATGGAAGTTGCTTCTGGGTGTGGATTAGGAAGAAAAACAAACAAAAACCAGCGACAGACTCTGCTTTTGTTCTGCACAACACATCTTTTGGCAGGCCGAAGCTTGCACGAGGGAGAAGCAGCATATGCCTGCGGAAGGTGGAGATTATCTCCAGCACATGAGCCTCACAGTGGGAGCAGAAAGGGGGACTGAATCACGACTGTCAGCCATCCATCGGTCTCTTGAAGCTAGTTCTGGGAGTTTTTGCAGAAGGATCAACTCTGGAGGCAGAGGGCTGGTCTCTCCAGACTTGTCGTGAGTGGGAGAGACAGCCACCTTCGCACAACAGTTTGGAGATGGAAAGCGACTCAGCTGCATCGGATTCCTGTCTGTGTGTCAATCCTCAAACTCCGGTTGTGCCAGGATGTAGTCATTAGGTGTGTCAGTCCTCTTCCAAGCTGCCAGTTTATTCTCCAGAACTTCAGCCCTCCCCTTTTCTAACAAAAGCTTCTCGCTGCTATCATTTCCAAGAAAAATCCAACAAGATGACTCGCGTGGCATGCAGGCATGTCTGCCCGAGTCTGTGGAGAGCCTTCTGATACAGCTGTAGGGTTTTCCCTGGTTCAGTGGAGTGTTAATTCGGGTGCCAAGTGATGGTGAACCGCTGCCAGTGCTCTTGGTTATTTTACTGACCCATTTAAGCCCAGTATTGTATTTCTAAAATCAAGCTCTTAACACTTGGCACAGTTTTTTTTAAGGCAGTACTGGCTTTAGGGATGTGAAAGGAGAGGTGGTAAGCGATGTTTTTACAGCGGTGTCCTAGGGGAAACACATACAGACTTCTGTGAGCAGACAGCGGGTTGCTAGACGCGAGCCTTCCCAGCGGCAGAGCAGAGCTCCGCTAACCCGAAAGGCTTGGTCTCCCCCCGGAGCGAGCTCCCCTCGCCTCTCCCTGCGGCTCACCTGCCGCCACCGCCGCTGCTCCCCCCCTCGCTGCCGCTGCAAGACGCGCCCTGTGTTGTGCACCCACACCGATGCTGCACCTTGTGCTTCAGCTTTGTCGAAAACAGACTTGTCCTGTGAAAGAAATCTAAAATACAGCAGGAGAAGGTAGATTTGCACCACTCCGCAGGAGTAATTTTTGTTTAGTTTTCGTAGTCATTTTTGTTCTGCGGTAGGAGTTTTTGCTAATTTGGACTGTGGTAGGTTCCAGAGTTTTCAGACGGATTTCACTGAAAATGGTTTTGTGCTTTGTGTGCGTAGCGTGTCCGAGGATGCTTTGGGCGAGCAATCGCATTTCCCTATCCCACCAGCTACACTGATGATGCGTTCAGGATGTTTTTGTGACCGTGCCTAGGATTTTTATGCTGCTGTTTGTCACTTGAGCCTACAGTATTTATAGTTTGCCTATGTCAGCAGCCTGCTAACTACAAACTTAGAAGTATTAGTGATGCTGGGTATATAATCTTTAACACATAAGATTTTATTTCGTAGGGAAGCACGTGGTTGAAGTAACGTTTTTAGTGTAAAGAAGGGAAATTTAAAAATGTAGTTTGGGAATTTTCTTTCCAAGCCCGGTGAAAGTTTAACGAAAAATAACTGCCCTGCGTCCACAAGCGTGATCTGGGTGGGCAGGCCCTGTCACAGCAGACGCCGCCATGCTCTTCGCGGTGGGGGTTATCTGCTTTTGGGTGGATGTTCCTGCCGAGCGCCTCCACGTATTCTTAATGCGCCTTTTTTTTTTCACTCCTTTGGGGCAAAAGGTGGGAGAAGGCGATTTTTGCGAGTGAGACTGTAAACAGCCGGTGAGAGCGCGTCAGATGAACTTGGGGCCGCAGCGGTGTTTCGCCAAGCGCCAGAGGTCCTGGCTGTTCCCATGCACTGCCCCTCGCTACGAACAATTCTCAGAATTTCTTTTCGCATCGTTTTCTCATGTGCTTTAAAGCTCTTCAGTCACTCAAAAGAAAAACTCTAAGCCATACGTGAAAGGTAGTATTTGGCCACAAAAGCAACGGCAGTGAA